CTGTTAATTTGTTTGATTTTTCGCAGCGGAATATTGGAGTGACAGATTGTTTTGTTGCCGTGGTTGGTTACAAGGAGTGAAACGTTGACGTGCATTTCTACGTCCTATCGAAAGGCACAAACATACTTGGAATCGAGGCCATCGCTTGTTCGCCCCTCAAAGTCAATGGTCAGGCATTGAAGTGTTTCAACACTACGTGTGTGCTGCTGCTCCATGGGAGAAACTTGGAATCAAGATTGTGGGACCTTTGTCATGTGCGCCAAATGATCACTGGTATGCCATTATGTTAATTGACGAATTCATTAAGTGTCCGGAGGTGTGCCTGATGAAGAGTGATGTCGGGAAGTATTGTTTCTTTTTTATGGCCGGTGTTTATTCATGAGGGCTACCCAGCCAAACTTGTCAGCGATCACAATCGTCAGTTCATGTCTGCCGAGTTTGAAGTATTCTTGAAAGATCGGGGAGTGAAAAACACCTTTTCCTCTGTGTATTATTCTCAAAGTAACGGCCAAATTGGGCATTTTAAACGTGTATTCGAGGACTTTGTGCAACTCAGTGCCCACGAGCAACGGCCCCTGAAGGAAGCTGTGGTAGAGTACCTGGGTGTCTATCGATGCACTCCTCACACAGCCAATTGTGAGAAGCCAGCTTTCCTGCTGCACGGACACCGTCCCAAGACGAAACTGGCCATTGTGGGGGGACCATCCAGAGACTTCTTGAGGAACCGGGCAAGACATCTTGCAAGCCTACGAGAGCATATGGCCCAGTACCAATGGAAGTCCAAAGCATACACGGACCCGCCGGGGAGCCAAGGTCAGCCAGTTCGAGCCAGGAGAGAAAGTTTGCATCAAGCTCCCAGTGCACATTCCAAAAGGCCGCACCAGCTGCTGGGCTTTCCAAGAAGGGGCAGAAAGTGTCAATATGCAGCGGCAAAGATCCGCCAATGCAAGTGTTTATTTTTAGGCATACGATTCTGATGCAAGACGAGCTTAATTCTGCGGTTAAAAAATTCACTAAAACCCCACATTTCTTTTACGTTTAGGGCGCCACAATAGAAAGTTCGCCCAAGCGGTGAGGTTGTTGTCATCGACACCATAACCACATTGTAAATTCCGATTTTGCAAAGTGTTTAAAAACAACACAAGGCTCATTGTGTAGTGTTCACTGGTGGTTGCAGGGTTTTTCATTTACAGCCTTGATGAAACAAAAGGCAAAGGGCATCGACATCACGAGCGAGTAAAGCCATTGCAAAAGCTTGCACGACCATAAACGCGTTATGAAAGTGGAGTTACCTGGCAGTTACAAAATGTGTCCTGCAAACTTAACATTCTGAGGCTGTATCTTGGGTGTTAGCTTTGTTGAGGTTTCACTAACACTCCTGCTTTCTACTCCTTCAGCTGCCCTGTTAAGGGGCACACCAATGAAACAATCGCCAGGAATTGCTAGAAACCGCCTGAAAAGTGGTTGCAGAAATAAAGAAGGGCTGAGAGACAATTCTTGCGAATCAATGAGGCGGCATTAGCCATGATCCTATGGCTTGCAAGGCGTGTTACATGAGAATGGCTATTACAATAGCATGACATCAACAAATTGAAATAAGCTGCTCATTTCACAAAAACAAATACAATGGATATTTGAGAACTATAAGGGCAGGCCTCAAGACCTCTCCATAGACCCACCTTCCAGCAACATGGCCAACTAGAGGTTAGCCAAATTTATTGTTTTAAGTTATTGCAAATAATGCACGAATTATGCCAGATGACAACATTTATAGACGCACATTCAAACATCTTCCCAATTAGGCACAAATTGTATAAAGTCCGCAAAAGACTTCACAATAGCCAAAAATCCTTAGTAATATTGAAGGTCTGATGTGCTTCAATAGCCCTTCAATTCAATAAAAGAAATTGAGGGTGCTTTTGGTGGGCACTGACATATATGTAGCTGTAGCTTTCTGATCATATTTTTCATGAGTTATGTTTATGCTTCATATTTATGTTTCTGTATGTTAGACTTATTAATGGGCTTAGATGGGCCAGTTGGTACATTGCAGATGTGTGAATGATTGAGCCAGTGAACACGCAGCATCCACTAAGATGACACCGTCAGGGCATCTAGACGTTCATTGCAGCAGATGCTCTTGCACCCCATCATTCAACAGCACACAAATTTTGGCAAAATACAAGGTGTCATGCGAACTACATAAGGCTTTTGAGATTAGGGCTAGGGGAAACAAGTGCGCCAGCAAAACGTCTTTGGCCCTTTGTACGGATGAGTATGAGTATTTAAAACGTGAGCTGGGTAGGGATTGATTGATGACTGTACGTCCCCGTTGGGAATAATAGTGCATACTTTTTCGGCACTTTATACCCTTTGCTAGACTTATGTTCTCAAATTCTTTTACTCTATCAGTAACTGTTCTACAGCTGTTTCTTTTGTTTTTGTTGTTGTAGAACATGAGGTTTTCCTTGTGCAAGTTTTTGCCTTTTGCTACACACAATGTAAACTGCCTCTTGCTAGAACTGTAAAAGGCGGCAGAGTCTTCATTACGCACTGTGGCTTAGTCTCTTAGCACCTCCTGGTCAATTGGGAAACAAATGAAAAAGGAAGGAAAAGAAAGACTTGCAAATGTTGTAGCTTCCCTGCACTGCATGTGTGCACTTCTCTGCAGTGCGCAGCTGTATTGAAAAGAAGGAGACTCGAGGGGGCATACAACAACAGGATCTACAACACAGAGAAAATGCCGTTAACGTCTCCCAACTGCACTTTTGAAAAACTGGTGAAGTTCCAAAAAGAATAGTCCCTTCGTTAAATTACCCGAGCACCAAGGAGCATGCTGAGAGTTTAGTTACAAGTGCTACACATGATGTCTGCAGCAGTAACTTTTAAAGCGAAAATATAGACCGACACGCTGTTTACAAACAAGCCCGCCTTTGCCCACACCAGGTGTGGGCACTGCGCGTGAGCAGAAATCGAATTTGGGAGGAGTGAAGCGTCTGCGCATGGCGCTGTGCCGCCGACAGCGCCACCGCAGCTGCATGACGTCAGGGCCGCGTGTTGGTCTATAAAACAAATGGTACTTTGCATGTCTGTTTGTCAATGCCTCATTTTGGGTATTTAGTTAAACTTTCTTAGATTGCTAAGGTGAGCGCATGCAGTTCATATACATCCGCAGAGTGCTCCTTGGTGCTTGAGTAATTTGGCAAAAACAGTTGATTAGCGAGTGCATTATGACTAAATCAGCAGTGTCCATAATCCATATGTGGCTGGGTCATGATTGATGGCTTGGAGGAGGAGTTTTAAAGCTTGTTTTTATCTGTGGAGCCCTCAGCATTATGAACACAATTCGCTGTATGGCGATGGGATAGAATTTATTCAAAGTGATGTTGACTTACCTTACAGGAACCTCATGGCATGTCTATACTTTATTTTTTACTCCGGGTAACTTTGTTAATTATTTGTATTGCCTGCAGAAATGCTCCACTTATTTGTGCTAAAACTGAATGTAAATTAATTGCAGATGATTCACACTTAATCTCCTGCATCAATTCATTCCCCTGCAGGTATGCTGCGAGAGAGCCAGCTGTACGACAAATTGTTGCAGTTGGTGGATGGCCACTCATATGTGCTGTATGGTGACCCGGCCTATCCCTTGAGGCCACTTCTGCTCAAGCCTTATGGCTCAAAGGCGACCCCAGCACAAGTGGAATTTAACAAAGCGATGAGTACCGTAAGGCAAGCCGTGGAATGGGGGTTCGGCAAGGTTGTTGCCGAGTTTGCCTTTGTTGATTTTAAAAAGAATCGAAAGATCCGCAAGCAAAAAGTGGCTCTCATGTACAGGGTGGCTGTCCTTCTGTCAAACTGCCACACCTGTATCTACGGAAGCCAGATAACTAGCTTTTTTGATCTTGAACCTCCGACACTGATAGAATACCTCCAGCCCATGTCTAGGTAATAGCTTTTTTTGTTTGATTTTATGTGGCATGAAAGGCTGGCAAATTGCCGATACTTAAAAATGACAGAGTGCCTTTTAAAAAAGCCTCACATTTCTTACAAGTGCAGAACCCAGGGATCCTGGGTTCAATCCCCGCCCCTGCTCGTTTCGATCTGGATGAGCATCGTGTCGGCGTGCGGTCGAGTATCACTACTGCGTGGTGCACGTTAAAGACCCCAGGTTAGCGGTTGTACCGCACTGGCTAAATTGCTCATCTACAGCCGAGACACCAGATGCCCACTGAGGCAGACTAACTTCCGGCTGTATAAACATACACACAACAATTTGTTTTTTGCTTACAAGTGCACTGCCGTGAATAGTTGTGCATGTGACAATACCCAACTATACTTTGTTCACCCTTCAGCTGAGACTGCAGCCAAAGTGCAAGTGCGAGCTAGACCGCACTCCTAGCTTCGAGAGGTGCATTTCTAGCACGAGTGCTTTTTCTGCTTTAAGAACACTTCACAGCAGCTACCCCGAGCTCTCGTGTTTGTGGCATTGGCTGCAGTCTCAGCTTAATGGTAAACAGAGTATGGATGAAGCACAAGGCAATTTCAATGAACTATGATGTAAGTGGGATAGTGCGTGCCATTTTTACAGTAGCAAAATAGATGACAGAAATAGGTGTCTCGTTGCCAAGCTTTCCAAGTAGCAGCTGGTTTTCCTTCAAATCTGCTTTCACCTCGTCGGACTGTGCCATCCAACATGTTTATATTGTACAGTGTGTCTACCTGCCCTCAAGCATTGTACATATATATTTTCAGCAAAATCAAAAACTTGCTGACTATATCAATCTACTTTTTTTCTTCTTCTGATGTGTTTATGGTTAAAACAAGATTTGCCACTGCAAATGGCGTCCTTTATTACTGGAATGTTTTGCAGATCATATTCAATAAAATTTGTCATCTCCATTTATTGGAAGTAGAGCCACAAATCTTCAATTCCTTTTGGCCTGACCGAGCAGGAACTCGAACATGATCCGTCGCTGTTCGGAAAGCTCGCGCCTTTCCTCGGCTCTCGCCTGGGCTTCCTCGGCAAATCGTTCACGCTCAAACTCCAGCCGTTTTTCATCTAGAGCGAGTCTCCGCTCTTCTATATCGAGCTCCCTCTCTCGAATGGCTCGCTCCTGATGACTGCGCTGCTGCAAGAAGGCGGCCACGTCCCCATCGCGAGTTTTCTTCTTTCCTGCAGAAAATCATGTGCAATCAGGAAAAATGACAGCAGAGTGAAAACAGTTCTGATATGGTTCACCCGTACAACGATAAGCAACTGGTTGATTCTAATTTTCTGATATGTTCTCATTAGAATTAAACTTGAGGAAGAAAACAAGAAGGACGGACGACCACAAACTTCTATTGGAAGTTTGTGGTTGTCCGTCCTTCTCGTTTTCTTCAAGTTTAATTATCCTTACCAACCGGCTCGTTCTGTCCTTTCTGATAAGAGGTGCACCCCTGCTTTAAAAGTGCCTTCCACACATTTGAGCCCACATTTGTAGCTCTTGTTGTACCACCTTATGAAGATGAAACTGATTATTGCAAACCAAGCACCTCAAAAAGAATTAACTCACTCGGGTGGGCATTGTCAACAGCTGTAGTGAACATATTTAACCCAATCACTGGCAGCTAATGGAGTCCCCAGGCAAAATCATATTTCATTCACTATGCTTTGAATGTAAATTAAAAATAATTGCAGCCGTTGCACATGGGATACCTAATGCCGGACCGAAGAACCTAGGCTTCAGCACACGTGTAGGTACAGTGCCAATCAAAATAGTGAAGCCTCACTAGTGTGGTACTGCCTGCTGCTCAACCTCCCTTTTTTTGTTAGTCCTGCCTCAACACTGCTGCCGCACTTTATCCAAAGCAACGTAAAGGGCTGTCCATATAGGATTAATTTCCGGCCATTTGCTACATTTGCCGTGACGGAAGTGAAGGCTTTTTTACAATCTATATCCGCCTTCATAGTGTAAAATACCGGACAAGCGCCCACTCAAAATTTAGAGATAATCACGAAAAAATGGGGGATTGGCACTTATCCGGTCATTAATTTTACATATAAATGTACTGTGCATATTTTTTCATATCTTAAAAATTTGGATATGGGTGCTTAATGTGGAATGGGCGGATGCGCGGTATTCTATGGTACATTCTTTTTGCCGCGGGGAAAGCAGGCTACCACAGGGAAGCTTTTCTCCTGACAAAAAGAATGTATGAGAGCAGATGGGAAGCGTAGGAAAACCTCCACTGGAGGTACAGCAAATGCCACGAACGGCAGAAAACATGCCGTTTGGACAGCTCTTATAGGGAGTTTGGGCACTTTCTGTTGATGGTTCACACACTCAAAACAATCAGGTGCTCAACACAGGTGCTTAATTTAGCTTGTGGCATGTAGGTAGCTACATAAGCACCCACTCCTGCAGCTCTTTTCAGCACTGTGCTACCTACTTCGAATTGTTCTTGAAAAAAATGAAATTCCGACAAGCTGCACCCATGAAAAGCAAACAATTTCCAGCAGAAAGAGCTTAGTTTAGACTACTTGCTGAACAACGCAATTAACGAAACATGCAATTTGAGGTTCTTCGTGCTTCGGAAGGCAAAAGTGTTTGACACCGCTCAATTCAGCATGCTTCCTTCCAATTGATTGAGAGTCTTGATGTCTAGTACAAGACTTGCCTGGAGTAGAAATTACTCAAGTAAGATGCAAGTGGTCCTGGAAACACTGCACAAAAAATAATCATAAAATGCTTAGTGAATATTGATATTCATACCTCGCAGTGCCGCAGTTCTTGCCCTAGGTGGTGGTGGTGACCTCGTCCGATCGGACCCATTGGCCCCATCGGTGGACGTCGACTGCGAAGGGCCTCCGGTGGCAGGCGTGGCAACTGCAGGCGTGCTTCTGGCGCCATTCTCACACATCTGCATGAGCAGAAGAGACGCTGGAGACTCCTCACCTGCACATAACGTGTGAAAGAAATTGAGTGAAATCACAGTTTTGGCAACGCTCAGCCTCAAGCACAGGGTTAACCTATTGTGAACCGTGCAAAGGCATTGTAACGAATGCCAGAAGCATCTGTATGTGGCACACTACACAGGCTGAGGTTCTCTTCTAGAGCCTCTACAAACGAAGCAGAGAAGTGTAGGAGAGGCTGGGAGAGGGAGGGGGGGGTGCAGTTGAAAAGGTTGGCTCGGGGAGAGCTAATGGCCTTAAAGAAGGCAAGTTTCTGGGTGAATTTTCTTATTAAGGGTCCTTCCAGACTACAGGCAGCCTCTCGAGTTCTCTGTGGCTTGTGAAACTTCAAGCTTAACTATAAAGATACCTGAATCGAATTATAAATGTATGAAACTAACACCATTCGTTTTTGTAACAAAGTATGTCATCACACATTCCAGTAGAATCAAATTTTCATCTATATCTGTGGACCAGTGTTTGCTCTGTTCGATGGGCACCGCAATGTTTGTTTATGCTGATGCCACAACACTGTAAAGGGCTGTGATTTTTGCAAGACTTCGTGTTTTTCTTTTTTAGAAACCTTTGTGCATACCGTAGTTCAAGAATGTCGGAAATGCATAGTGATGAAGCTCCAAGAACGACACCGATGCCAAGAGTGCTGCGAAAAGCAAAAATCTTGTTTTATGCACAGCCCCTTTCTTCACAAAAGCCTGCAATTGAGATTATTATTCCCCATTTTTATCACTGGAGACTAGGATTTCGGACGCTGGTCTATGCAGATTATACTTGCCCATAATGTTGTCCGAATCTTCGTCCACTACCTCCTCTGCGTTGGCTACGTTCTTCGCAGCAGCGGCTGCTGCATTGATTGCCGTCACAGCTGTCTCCCTGATGGCATTGGCGGCGTGTAGCTCTGCCCTGGCCGAAGCTTTGTTGGTCCTGCTGCCTGGCCCTATGGCGTTGCCCGGCGTCATGCCCACTTTTCTGGGCTGGACCCTGACTTGGTGGCCGAACTCCCTCGCCATGTAATTTATTTCTTGGAGCAGGTGCTCCTTTTCGGAGTATTGCTCCTCTGTGCCAGACCTAATGTTTGAAGAATAAGATGGAAATGATTGCAGCAGGAGTATTTCAATTCAACACAAGGTGATTTAGTATCTTTAATTGTTAGATGTGAGTTGAGTTGTTAAGATTTAGCATATCTGCACGCAACAACCCTGAATTTTATTTAGTCACACCTGCAGCAAATAACTGCCTCATGAAAAGTCATGCTGCATCAACATAGCCATTGGCTCTTATCAAACAGGAATACAAAACTCTGCATCCGATCAATTTTCACATTTTGTCTCATGTGGTCAAGCCACATGGGTACTTAAAAGGTCATCCCCGTGAGCAAGGGAAGAGGAAAATAAAATGTACAGTGGGAATCGATATGAGCTGACTAAAAAACGCTGGCCGGGGCGGTAAAAATCACTGGAAAATCTGGGAAAGAGCAACGCAGACCATCTCTTTATTAATTTCGGAGCATTGGAAATAGAACGAAAATAAAATGCGTTAAACAACGATTCCCTTGCAAAATATATGTTCCGTAAAACAGACTCCCAATTTCACAAGATATAAACTCCGAAAACACGACACCCGTACTATGAATACAAATCTGGCGTATCCGTGGCTGTGCCCTCATTGCATCACCGCTTGCCAGTTTTGCACAGGTCAGTTCAGGCAGTGGATGTCAGAACGAGCCGCAGACCGAATGTTTCGCCGATTTCAGCTTAAAATACGCTCAAGGAACAGAGGTTACTGTACTTACTTTCTTAAGTTCGCCCTGTCCTCTCGACGAAAGTGGCCGAGTAGCAGGTCGCAGCGTTCGCGTATGGCACGAGCTGTGAAGTTTTTCCCGGTTGCTTTGTTGACCATCTCTGTGACTGCTCGCCACCTGTCGTGGTCCTCGAATGGGTTTGTCGCTGCTACCTCTTGTAGCAGCAGAATGTCGTCTGCCACGACGAAGCGCGACCGCACAGCGGGCACATTCAACGCGGCAGACATCGCGGACATCTTGGAAGTGATCGAGAACGCTGGCTCTCCCCGGCCTTCCCTAATCTCGCAACGACTCGTTCTCGCGAGACCCGCGCTAGCACATCCCGCTACCTCCCCCGCTATTTTTGCAGAACAGCGCGCCTCCGCTAGCCTCCGCAGCTCCGCTAATTTTCCGCTAGCAGCGCGCATGCGCCGTAGCGTCGTCGCTCTAGCGTATAGCGTAGCTGGAGAGCCAAAACGATCTACTAAAACTCTCTATTGTCACCATGTCGTCCACATCAACCATGACGTTCACTACTGGTCCCTTAATGCCGTGTTGACCTCCACCGTGCATCAGCCGTCGCAGTTGCATGAAAGGAATTCGTGGAGATATGAGTCTCTCACTCACCGCGTTCAATTGTGGGAGGTGGGCTGGCTTCGGGGGATATACATAACCGTTACTTGAGGAAAGATGAGGAATATGACCCTTGTGCACTGATTGTATGCAGGTCGAGCACAGTTTGAATTGGGTTAGGTCCGAGTTTGGAAATGATTGCTCTAGGGTCTCGTGACATCTGTCCGGTAGCGGTTGCAAGTCGTTTTGGAACCAGAGCCGATCACAGACTGAACATAGCCTCCCAAACGGGTTGTCTCTAAACAGCCGTTGGAAAATTTTTGTTGCACCGTCAGGCTTAGCGATCCTTGCCTTTTGCTTGGCTTCCGCTTCGGCGGCGCTCACTCCTGGCTGCTCTCGGCGGCGGCGATGAGCCTCTGCCTCGGCGTCGCGCACTTCCGGGTCCTCTCGACGGCGGCGATTAGATTCAGCTTCAGCAGCGCTTACTTCTGGCTGCTCTCGACGGCGGCGATGAGCCTCTGCCTCGGCGTCGCGCACTTCCGGGTCCTCTCGACGGCGGCGCTTAGATTCAGCTTCAGCAGCGTTTACTTCTGGTTGCTCTCGGCGGCGGCGATGAGCCTCTGCTTCAGCGTCGCGCACTTCCGGGTCCTCTCGTCGGCGGCGATTAGATTCAGCCTCAGCAGCGCTTACTTCTGGCTGCTCTCGGCGACGGCGATGAGCCTCTGCTTCGGCGTCGTGCACTTCCAGGTCCTCTCGATAGCGGCTTCTGGCTTCCGCTTCGGCGGCGCTCACTCCTGGCTGCTCTCGGCGGCGGCGATGAGCCTCTGCCTCGGCGTCGCGCACTTCCGGGTCCTCTCGACGGCGGCGCTTAGATTCAGCTTCAGCAGCGCTTACTTCTGGCTGCTCTCGGCGGCGGCGATGAGCCTCTGCTTCGGCGTGGCGCACTTCCGGGTCCTCTCGACGGCGGCGATTAGATTCAGCCTCAGCAGCGCTTACTTCTGGCTGCTCTCGGCGACGGCGATGAGCCTCTGCTTCGGCGTCGCGCACTTCCGGGTCCTCTCGATAGCGGCGCTTAGATTCAGCTTCAGCAGCGCTTACTTCTGGCTGCTCTCGACGGCGGTGATGAGCCTCTGCTTCGGCGTCGCGCACTTCCGGGTCTTGTCGACGGCGCCGTTTAGCTTCAGCTTCGGCGGCACGCACTGCAGGATCTTGGCGCCGGCGGCGCTGAGCCTCTGCTCGGGCAGTGCGTTTAGCAGCAGCTGCTTCATCTGACTCGCTCTTTTTGTGAAAAAAGAACTGGCTGATTACGTCTCGTCGTCGTCGTCTTTGTGATATCACTCATGCTGGATCACGGCGCCGGCGGTGCTGACCCTCTGCTCGTGCAGCACGTTTAGCAGCAGCTGCTAAAGCCCCTATATCCTGAGGAAAGTGGCTGCATTGATTGTTGTGGAAATGCTCGAGACACGTGCCGTGCGCCAATTCTGGGAAGAACATGGCGACTGTAACATGGCATTTGAAATCTAAAAAAATTGGGTTGTGTGTGTGTTTATACAGCCTAGAACTTGGTCTGCCTCACAGGGGCGACGAGTCTCCCAGCTGTAGATGAGAAATTTAGCCAGTGCGGTACAGCCGCTAGCCTGGGGTCTTTAGCGTGCATCACGCAGTAGTGATACACGACCGCACGCCGGTACGATGCTCATCCAGATCGAAACGGGCAGGGGTGGGGCTCGAACCCAGGATCCCTGGGTTCTGCAGCGCGAGCTTTCGCTCCACGTGCTCCGAGCTGGTGTGCGCTAGACCACTCGGCCACCGATCCCCCCCATTTGAAATCTAGTTTGAATGTGCGCTGTGCCGCCATGATCTTTCCAAAGTCTGCACGTTGCACGTGCCTTGTGCATCGACGCACCGTGCGCTACTTTAAGACATGAACGCGCTTTAGCAGCTTTTAGCTTCTCTTTGTTCTATTGTTTTCCTGCTGCAGGGTTTTTCAACCCTGCAGCAGGAAAGCCGAAGCCGGCCGAGGGACAAGAGATAAGAGTCTTTTAAAATAATTTTTCGGAGAAATGAAAATTCGGATTCGTCCGCCCTGCTCATCCTCCCTGCTCCCTGCGTTCTCCTCTTCCCCTCGGGGGGGCCACGTGATCTCGGGGGCGGGGGGGAGGGGGTAGTCACGTGACCCTCCCGAGGCCACATGACCCCCCGCTGAAGTCATGTGACTCTGGGGGGTGACTGCCCTCCCCCCGCCGAAGTCACGTGACGCCCCGCCCAATGTCATGTGACCCCCTTTCCCCGAGGCCACGTGACCCCCCGGACCTCTGCCCTCGTCCCCCTCCTCCTCCTCCCCCCTCCTCCTCGCCTCCCCAAGGTCATGTGACCCCCTCCCCCGAGGTCACGTGACCCCCCCGGACCATACTAAATGAGGGGAGGAGGAGGAGAAGGAGGGGGGAGGAGGAGGGGGAGGAGGAGGAGCGGAAGGAGGAGGAGGGGGAGGGGCGCGGTTACGCCGACGCCGACGCCGCTCAGGCTGGAAACGAGCCCCTAAGAGCTGCGCTCTAAAAGCTGCATAGTATGCACTTACCGTGGCTAGCATCGCCGCCCAGAGAGCTTGCACAAACTCTCTGAATGACATGCAGTGCAGTTCAGAACATAGCGGCACTGGCTAGCCAGTTGCTGCGAAGGCTTGTAGTTTTGTAGTGTCTTGCTGGCTGCAAGTCACCTCTTTCATGCCTTGTCGTACCCATCAGTTTCAAAACAAACGCTGATGAACCGCGACCAGCTATAACCTGTAGCACAAGGGGAAAAGTATGTGTGAATGTGCAGTCTTCCATCCGGTTGCTTTGGTCTAACGTCTGAGTTTTCTTTGAAAAGAAAACAGCAATGACACTTCTTTCACAGTAATATGCAAACGAAACGAGAACAGCTCGGGTATTATACTGTCTCACAAGTTGTGCGCAGCAAAGGCACGAATGCGACAACGTAGCTCCGCAGAATTTTTTTTGTTGTTGTTTTGCGCAGGTGCTTGTGCAAAAAAGGTGCTTTTTATTGTCATGTGCTCGGGCCTGTGCCTTTGCTGCAAACTTACGATACAGAGTGTATAGGACGCTTTCAAAAGCACTCGCGTACGGCGAGAAATCCATGATATCCAGGGTACGACAGGAAACCTCGCAGGGGTACACGAAGCTGCAAGTGCGCCAGAATGTGCAACTAGAGGTGGTGATAGAATGACATAGTTTGAGAATATCAGGTTACTTGGGTCAAAATATACAAGCGAAAAACGTAACTTTCTTGCCGGCTGATGTTAGGAGCCATCCAAGCACGACCAAATATTCGTTGTGATCGGGGTATTTAATCGGGCGCGAGTTGGTAAAGATTTGAAAAACACGAAAGAATAAAACATGTAGGGGCGAAGACAGACAGCGGAGTTCCCTGTTGACATGGGATGTAAGATCAAACACATTATTCCGTCGGATCAAACGTTTTTGTTTAATTAGGCTTAGCTGGCAAGTCAGCCGGCAGGTTTGGGGTCGGTTTTTAGAGAAGCTCTTTTCGCGGGCTTTCGGCATTCTGCGATGCGTGTTTGAATCGTGAGCACAGGCTCAAACAATGGGCAGCGGCGCCAAATGTATTTGAAACGATGAAACAGCTCGGACAGGTGGAACGAACACAGAGATCACATCACAAGAAAACGCAAATCCCTCACCTTTTGTTCGACGACGGTTCGCAAGACACGATTCAAATCAACGACACTCGATTCGGTCACGATATTCAGGTAATGGACGCAACAACGTATGCTTGCCGTTCCTAATAACTACATAAATACGACGAGACGACAGAATATCAAAGGCGTCGGAAAAAATGAAAGCCGTTTACAACTCCCTGTAACGCCGAATTAGAGCGCAGCTCTTGAGGAGGAGGAGGGAAGGGTACTGGGGAGGGGGGTCAAATGACCTTGGGTGGGGGTCACGTAACCTAGGGGGGTCACGTGACGATGACGATGCCGATGACGACGCGGATACCGATGACGTCATCAGTGATGATGACAATGACGATACGGATGCCGGTGACGTCATCAGTGATGATGACGATGACGATGCGGATGCCGGTGACGTCATCAGTGACGTCACTGATGGCGTCATCAGCGATGATGACGATGACGATGCGGATGCCGGTGACGTCATCAGTGATGATGACGATGACGATGCAGATGCCGGTGACGTCATCAGTGATGATGACGATGACGATGCGGATGCCGGTGACGTTATCAGTGACGTCACTGATGACGTCATCAGCGATGATGACGATGACGATGCGGATGCCGGTGACGTCATCAGCGATGATGACGATGACGATGCGGATGCCGGTGACGTCATCAGCGATGATGACGATGACGATGCGGATGCGGGTGACGTCATCAGTGATGATGACGATGACGATGCGGATGCCGGTGACGTCATCAGTGACGTCACTGATGACGTCATCAGTGATGATGACAATGACGATGCGGATGCCGGTGACGTCATCAGTGATGATGACGATGACGATGCGGATGCCGGTGACGTTATCAGTTACGTCACTGATGACGTCATCGGGGGTCACGTGACCCCGGGGGTCACGTGACTTGGGGAGCCACGTGACTTGGGGTGTCACGTGACTTTGGGGATCACGTGACCCTGGGGGTCACGTTACCCTGGGGAAGGGGTCACGTGACCTTGGGTGACCTTGGGGAGTCACGTGACCCCCGATGACCCTTGGGGAGGGGTCACGTGACCTTGGGATGATCTTGGGGGTCAAGTGACCTTGGGATGACCTTGGTTACGCCGACGGCGACGGCGACGCCGCTCAAGCCGGGAACGGGCCCCTAAGAGCTGCGCTCTAAAACGCAATCGGTTGCGCAGAAAATGCGGTTGCAAAAAGCAAGAAAATAAACGAGAAATACGTCAACAGTATAAAGAGAACAAAACGTTTCCTCGCTAAAAACCGTGACGTCACAGAAGAAAAACAAAGAAAAACAAGCAAAACAAAATTTTTTTATCTCGTGATGTTATATTTGTGACGTCACTTGCGGTGACGTCGTATCACGTGACCAGTCATTATTCCTCCTCAGAATCGCTCGTGTCTGCCCTCCCTATCTCCCCCACGATGCCTTCCCCAACGGAGCGGTTCCTTGAAACTGTGCGACTGTTTCCCTTTTTATAGGACAAGACGCAACCAGACTAACTAGATAAGGACGCTAAGAACAACCGTTGGGAAATTTTGCGAGAGGAATTCAGAATTACAAGTGAGTTTCTCTGTGGCACTTGTTGCATGTCGTCTGTGTTGTGACGGATGTTGTGTTGATTTGGTAACACTTTCGAAAGTAGCCTTCATCTCTGGCGCGCCGCCGGGGCAGCGAAGCCCCGGCGGCGCACCAGACCTGTCCTGTCCTTCGGTGTTTAGGTAGAACCAACTCGGCCGGACCGAAAACCTGCGTCTCCTTCCCTTCAGAGCACGGCGACGTCGCAAGATCAACGAGCAGGCGAGGATAATCACATTCACGCTGATCACCAGGTCATTATGGACTCCTACCATGTAGGCAGCGAGTGCGGAACGGAAGAATGTAACGAAGAGCAGACGACGAAAGAGCGGGAAATTCGACGGGAGGCGCGATCGCGGGATCCAGTGCTGTCACGTGACGCCTGCAAAACGGAGGCCATTTGCACTCCTCGCGTTGGGACACCGGACGGCGGTGCCGCCCGGCGGTGCCGTTCACGCCAGTGTGGTCAGGCCTTAAAGGGGCACTGACACATCAAAATCATATTTCTTTTTTATTATCCGAAACGATTGAAAACGATGCCGGAACATAACCCTCAAAATTCGAAATTTGGGAATTCAGTGTTTGTGAAGTAAAAAAACAATTTCCAAATGCAGAATTCGCGCTCCCCGCGCTATTCGCGCCGGTGCGTTGACGTCAAACATTGCGGAGTCCTGGGAGTCCACTTTCTTTCACGACTCCCTGCTGTTGCCATGGCGACCCAAAGCGAGGAGGAAAGGAGCGGGCGCCGGCGGACCGGTTTTGAGTAGGGATGCCGCGAACCACCCTAGGTTCGAAATCAAAAGGTTTCGATATTTTCGACCGTAGGGAGGTTCGAATTAAAAAATTCTGAACTTTTCAAAATTGTGGGGTTTCGAATTCGAAAAGTTCGAAGCTTTCACGGTTTCTAAAAGTTCGGCTTCGATTATTTCGAATATTTGTTTCCTTGAGGTTCGATCAATTCGAATATTTTTAACT